AAGAAAATATGTATGTCTTATAGGAATTTCAACTAAGAGTTGGTGGGAAACTATTAAGTTCCTCTGAAAGTCACATAGTTCGTGGTACGGAAACATGGAACGGGAACGCGATTCATGAGGTTGGGCGTATCATGTACAGGGGGTAGGTTCATTTCGGTACATGTCCGGTGAGGTGTACCATTGATCCTGATACGATCTACTAGTTTTTAGTACACATATTTAGCAATAAGTTACTTATAAACATAACTTCTAATAACATATTTAATTTAGAAGTAGAATTCTAGCAATAGTATGTTTCTAAACTAAATTCAAGTAGAACTTCTATATAAAATAAATAAATAAATAAACTCAATTCCAACAGTATATTTCATGATTCCATAATTCATAATACCAAAATACACAGATTGTAAAGATTACATGCTGGAAATCAAAACAGGAATAGGTTTCTAACAACTTAAGAACGGAAATAGGAAGAGTAAACAAACAAAAAAATGTAATAAGTAAATCTACTCATTGCTTTTTTCCTATTCCATTCTCCACATTTTCTTCATCTATATTCTCCCAAACCATGTCATCTAATTGTTAACATGAGCCTTCAATGTAAGTGCTTTCGGGTTTGATGTCACACTTTTTGTTTGGGCCGGTTTGTATGATTGGTAGAAACGAGATAGGAGTCGAATGTTGGAGTGAAGGTAAACCGATTTATCAGCTCTTTTTTCGTTCAGTTGGTTTCTTTTCACATTATGTGTAACATTTTGAATTGCATGTATATTATTCCGACCCTTGGTTTGAGTATTGTTTGCAAAATTAGTCCTGAGTGGCATTTTTTTTTAATTTTGAGGCATGCATGCGTACGTTGGGTGTACGTTGCATACATTTGTCATACGTGGCCAGGGTGCAAACCGTAAGTTATAGGGTTTCAAACATATTTAAGCATCATTATATCCCTATACCCTTGCTTAACTCTAACCTTCATCCCTTTTAGCCCCCATTTCGAAACCCTAAAGCGTGTGAGTGTGTTTTGAAGATTTGGAGTGTCATTTTGGTACTTTTCATGATGAAGGAAGACTCTTGGTGTGGTAGAGTTTCAATCAAGTCTTTGGATCCAGCAACTACTCTCCCTTGTGCATCTTATGGAGGTATAAAACTTCAACCTTTATGAGTATTTCTTTAGATATTGTGCTAGCTTAAAAGTTGCACCTTTTCTCAAAAATCTTGATCCTTGTGAGTATGGAATACTCACGGAACTTTGAGATGTCCTTTAAGATGTTTTAGCTTGAGTAGTATATTATTCATTTTCATTCATAGCAAACTTCAAAAATTTAAAGATCGTACACATTATTTTTGTTATCTGATCAATCCTAAGATGATACATAGTAAGGAATCCGATGAACATCTATTTTTCATAGAATAAAAATCATTTACCATGGGTTCCTTCTTTTGTTTATTATCTGGTGAATAACTTTTTCTTTTTAGAAGGATGACTACTTTCAAAATCTAAATCTGAAACTTGTAGTTGTCGCTTTTTCGAAGTGATTGTTTTCTTCTTGGGCAATATTATCTTCTTTATTTTTTTATAATTTTTTTTGGTGTTTTTATTTCTTTGGTCTCTGATAAATAAAACATATAGTATGAGAAGAAGATGGGATATAAAATTTTTGCATGCTCTTCATATGTGAATATAACATGTATTATATAACTTAATTAGAATACATATGATTCATATATGAATGTAATACAATGAATATTGATGAAATATTGATATGTGAATAGGAAACATATACAATAGACACACACACACACACACACATATATATATATATATATATATATATATATATATATATAGTTATTCATTTTTGTTGTATTCATAGATGAATAGGAGAATATCGATCAATTATTCATATGTAAATAGGTTATATATATATATATATATATATATATATATATATATATATATATATATATATATATATAACAATCATATATACTTATTCATATATGAATATAAGGACGGACAATTATGATTAATATAACATATTTGCTAGTTTTTTTTATACATGTATCGTTTTTTTATCCTTAAACGTTTCTCTCATAGTTTGGCTTAATTCTCATTAGAAACTTCATTTTTTGTACTCTTTGCTTTTTCAAATTTTTATGAATTGTTAAGAAACAAAGAAATTTAATTTAGTTTTCTTTGTATTCACAAGAGAATAGAACATAACTGAATTTTATATACATGTATGATATTCATAAATGAATATAACAGTTGTACAAATATTTAGATATCAGTATAGGGATGGAACAATTATGATTAATATAACATATATGTCATATTTAATACCTTAGTTGGTTTTTTCGTGTTATATGTTTATCTTTTAATTCAAGTGAACACTTATCAGAAACTTCAATTTTCTTTCTCTTTGCTTTTTCAATTTTTTCTGAATTTTTAAGAAGCAGATTAATTTAATTTAGTTTTGTTTGTATTCATAACTAAATAGAACATAACTGAATTATGATATACATGTATGCTATTCATAAGTGAATATATATATATATATATATATATATATATATATATATATATATATATATATATATATATATATATATATATATATATATATATATATAACTAGGTTCACATATGGATGAATAATTATTGTATGAATGTAGGGATTAATTGTGACCAATTATTTCCAAAACCTATATAAGGGTAATAGGTATATGTGGCAATGATAATGGAGACTTAGCGATAGTAAATGTATATGCTCCCCAATCGGTGACTATGAAAAAGAAATTATGGGAGGAACTATCATTGATAAAGGCCAATAGAAATGTGAGATGGATCATTATGGGAGACTTTAATGTGGTGCGAAATGCAGACAGAAAGAATTAACTCACGCTTTTGTTCTAACAGAGCTCAAGATTTCAACCAATTCATAAATAATAACTCTTTGCAGGACCTAAGAATGGGTGGTTTCAATTTTACATACTACAGGCAGGAAGGAAGAAAGTTAAGCAAGCTTGATCGGTTCCAAGTGTGTGAGGAATTTCTTTAATACTTACCCGGTGCTTCTGCTACGGTTATTCCTAGACAATTTTTAGATCATATGCCAATCATTCTTACCATCATGCAGGAGGACCTTGGGCCAAAACCATTTAGGTTATTTAATTCGTGGTTGGTAAAGGAAGGTTTTGAAGGGGTAGTCAAGAAGGCGTGGTCTGAATTTCGTGGGTATGGAGGGGCTAATGCTTTCTTAACAGCTAAGCTAAGATATCTTAAAAAGAATATAAAGAAATGAAGAGAGGCTAAATATACAAGAGAATATGGTAAGATACAAGCACAAAGAAGAAAATGGAGGAAATAGATGCCTTGGCGGAAACAAGAGACCTGATGCCTCATGAACTGGGAATAAGAACTAACTGTCACAGAAAAGTTGTTGAATATAAAAAATTAGCAACCATGGACTTAAAACAAAGGTCCAGGATAAAATGGATTGTGGATGGGGATGAGAACTTCTCATTCTTTCACTGATATGTGCACAATAGATGCCGTAAGAACAAAATACAGGGAATAACATCTGATGGTTTGTGGATCACTAATCCATCCCAAATAAAAACGGAGATTCATTCCTTTTTTGCAAAAAAATTCAAAGAGAGACCGAGATCTAGACCAAAACTAATTAATCACATATTTAAAAAGATGCACCAAGAAACTCGACACATGTTGGAGGTGAAGATTCGGGTGGAGGAGATTAAAGTGGCGGTCAGCTCCTGTAGCAATGAGAAAGCACGGGGGCCGACGGTTTTACGTTCAAGTTTTTTAAAACGTATTGGGACTTGGTGAAAGATGACATTGTGGAGTTTGTAAAATATTTTGAAAGATGGAGAAAATTTTCAAACGGATGCAACTCTTCGTTTATATCCCTGGCAGCAAAGGTGAATGACCCATTAACCCTTAAAGATTACCGACCAACAAATATCATAGGAGCCTTATACAAAATAATAGCAAAGATCCTTGCTAATCGGATGAGGGAACACATTGGTGGGTGTATTAATGAAGTTCAATAAGCTTTTTTAGAAGGTGGCAACATATTGGAGGGTCCTCTAATTGTAAATGAGTTAGTTTCTTGGACTCAAAAAAATGGAAGAAAAATATTACTATTTAAAGCTGACTTTAATAAAGCCTTTGACTTGGTCAACTGGGAGTACTTGGATTCAGTTATGATGCGAATGAATTTTGGTGAAAATGGAGGAGATGGATAGCGGGATGTCTAGAATCATCTAAAGCTTCCGTATTTGTGAATGCCCCCCCCCCCACAAAGGAGTTTGGTATGTCAAAAGGTGTTCAACGAGGAGACCCACCCCATTCCTATTCATAATAGCTATGGAAGGACTACATGTCATGATGAGCTCGACAATGGAATGGGGATTATTTCATGGGATGAAATTCCCAAACTCTAACGTTAATATTTCTCATTTGTTTTACGCAGATGACACATTGTTTATAGGTCATTGGTCACAAAGAAATATCACTAATCAAGCAAGAATACTAAGATGCTTTCATGTGGTATCTGGATTAAAGGTGAACTTCAATAACTCACGTGTTTATAGTATTGGAGGAGAACCCAGTGAGGTAAGTGAGTGGGCAACCCCACTTGCATGTGAACCATCATCCTTTCCTTTCACGTATTTAGGCATACTCGTGGGAGACAATATGAACAGAAAAATGCATGGAATCCAATAATCGACAAATTTAAGTCAAAATTGTCAGCTTGGAAGTCAAAAACACTAAGCTTCGGAGAACGGATAACTTTAGCAAAAGCAGTACTGGGAAGCCTTCCCACGTACTATCTATCTCTGTTTGTCGTACCAATTAGAGTAATTCAAGTACCGGAGAAAATCCAAAGACAGTTTATTTGGGAGGGACGGAAAACAAGTCAAGTATACGTTGGGTTTCCTGGGAAAAAATCACAGCTCCAAAACAGGTGGGAGGTATGGGTTTGGGTTCTTTTAGATCCCTGAATTTGGCTCTATTATCGAAGTGGCTATGGAAACTCAAGGTGGACTTGGAACACCTATGGGCCCGCATAGTCACGGCCATACATAAACTTGGGAATGATCTTAATTATTGCTTTGCAAAGGCATCGTCAAGTGGTGTTTGGTCGAACATTGCTAAATCATTTAGGGAAATGGAGAAATTCGGCTTGACGACACCAAAAGTAATGAAGATGGCGAACTCAAATGTTAGATGGATAACTGATTTTGAAGAAGATGGGAAATTATCTGTAGCAATATTAAGAACAAGGCTCGATCGGGCAACCCACCCGATACCCGATGGTGAATTCACATGGTCTAACGCGGTTCCAAAAAAGGTCGTGTGTTTCGTATGGAGGGCAAAACAAAACCGAATCCCATCAATGGTGGCGCTAATCAAAAGAGGGGTTCCAGTTAACACTATTACTTGTGATGTGTGCCAAGTAAATGATGAAACAACGGATCAATTGCTTATAGAGAGCCCGTTGGCGAAAGAAGTGTGGTCAACGGTGGAACAATGGTGTGGTTTATCGAATTCCTTCCTGGAGTGTACTACAGTCCAGGAGGTGCTGGCGAAGGACAGAAGATGGAGAATGTAACACCTCGATTCTCAGGTATTGTTAATATGACTTTTTGGATTAGGCCCTACTCGACGAGTTGGTTTACCTACTCGTCGAGTAGCAGTGAGAAGGATCGCGGGTTAAGTGACCTACTCGAGGAGAAACTAAGATACATTGTATTTGTTGTGTTGTTTCATTTATTCATATTTAGGTAGTATATATACTAAACTGCAATGCACTTTCACCTTACATATTCTTTTTTTTTTTCAATTTATTTAAATTTTTTACCAGAAACTAAGATACATTGTATTTGTTGTGTTTTTTCATATTTACGTGGTAAATGCAATAAATAGTAATGCACTTTTAGTTTATACCTTTTTTCTGTTTTTTCCAATTTCTTTTAATTTCTTTACCAAAAAGCAATTTACATTTCCTTTGGTGTGTTTTTATCAGTGATATTGCAATTGCACTACAACTTCGAGGTTGTTATTTTCTGGTAGTTGTTTTAAAGTAAGTTTCTGTTTGGATTCTACCATGTCAAAGTTGACTACTATTTTTAGGTGGTACGTTGTTGCTTTTATAGAATTTCCACCCTAAATGTACCCAGCTCTGTATGTAGGGTCAGAGCAAGCATGTTGAACATGAGCTGCTAAGATAGATTCAAAATAATTTAAAAAACAAAAAAGTAAGCAAATGCTCTCTTTAAAAAAAAGCAACTAAATAGTCAAAATCAGATAATTTACTAATTTTTTCTTATTTTTTTGCAGCTTGGGAAATGATTATCACAAAATTTCTAAGCCCCATACCTTGACATGTACGTATGTTGATACCATTCGTAGCCAAATTGCAAACTGCTAAATAAAAACAATTGGTGACAGCGAAATATGAGGTATTCTATTATCAATTTGGTTTATTATTTTTAAAGTTTTACAAGATATTTAAATTTAAAAGCATATTTTTCTTTCTTTTTTTTTTCCTTAAATTGAAAAAGCATCATTTGTATTGTTGCATTTCTTCATCTATTTTTATGTTATTTTGAATTGTTATAGGCAAAAATTTTAAACCACAATGTCGTAATGGGAATACATTCCAGTGGAAAACAGCCCGGCAAACAATTTCTTTTCTTATAGTTTTGTGTTAGGCAAGTCGCGAGGTGAGGCTCAGTGCCTTATTAGAAAGAGGAAAGAAAAAGATGTGAAGAGAATAAGGGATTATGAATGGTCCTTTTTCTTTGTTTTTTCTTTTGTTCAAATCAGATGTCTTTTCATTGATTTTTTAGGTGGAAGGTAAAAAGTGATGTTAATGCGTGGCCATTATAGACATGTACCTAAAAAAAATGTAGTTATAATGACTTATCTTTAATTTTAAAACACTTTTGACATTTGTTTACCCAATTTTGTGTTGGCTATTGTTTTACAGGAAAAAAAGAGGGGCTTTTTTTGCACATCTGTGATTCGTATGGCTGCTATTTATGGACCCGGAGAAGAAAGATACACCACTCTTTCAAAGAAGCCAACTTATATTGTGCATATGAAAGTACATGCCTTTATTAGACAAAACATAAATGTACATTTCAGGATAACATGCTTCTTTCTGTTTACCTTTAAGAATCCAACATATGTCTTTTAAAAATAGAATAGATTTCAGTTTACTTCTACTTTATTTTATTTTTAGACAACATACTTTGATAGTCAACCAACTATACCATCCTACTTCCATAACGAACAAATGATAAACGATAACACCATATTTTACATTAGCAGCGAATCCAACCCCCGTAAAGCGGGGGTTCCCATCTAGTATACATTAAAGTTGTTTTTCCTTAAAAAGGTGCAGTATCCCTCTTTTTAAAATTCATAGTTTATAGTAGGGATAAAAGTGGGTTCAAACCCGGACCGAATGGATATTTCTTTCTTAGTTCATAGATATTTCTTTCTTAGTTCATTTAATTTAATTTTACTTTTTCTTTATTCTTTTTAAATGTTTTTCCAACTATAAGGATCATAGGTATGAGCAATATATTATTATATGTTATTACATCTAAAATGTCCACATCATCATCTTACTTAGGTCTTGGTGTTATAACATCCAATGTAGAAATAAGTAATAGCAAATAACATTTGATAACACTTTCCATCTTTTATTTCATTTTTATTATTTATTTATTTATTTAATTTTTTATTTCCATTTTTCTAATTTGTTTTATTTTTTTTAAATTATGTCATAATATTTTTAAAACTATATATAAATTAATAAAACATAATTAAATTAAATACTTAATTAAACATACCATTTTAAAAATAAAAACAACATTACAAAGGAATAAAAGAACATTGATCGAAAACATACAATAGTCCTAATAATTTTAAAAATATAAAACCGATACACTATTCTTTGCCTAAATATATCCGCTCGATCTTCGCCTTCATTTTTTGGAGTACATTCGCCCGCCTCGGTGGCATATTCTTCTCTCTAGTTTAAAGAATTGAAAAATCATTCGTCATATGATCTTCCTCGACTCTCGACGAAGGAACTCCAAATGCTCACGTTGATACTCATATCTTTTAAGCATGACTTCTTTGTAGGCATCAAATTTCATTTTCATTTCCGCTTGCTCTCGAAGACTACTTTCACTTTCCTCCACATGTTGTTGAGCACGCCTCGCTTTGGCGCGCCCTATCGGTCATCGAGGTGGGGAAATCTCTTCAAGGTCGTTGAGGTCATCCGCTAGCTCATCCGTGTCCGCATCAAGGTCGATGTTCGTTCATGCGTCCAAAACGTCGACCCAACCCGAGTCGCGAGACCTCTTGGATTGTTGTTCTGAAAATGTGTCCGTTTTATTTCATTTTGGGTCTTCCTTAACAATATCCCAAATCTTTTTGTTCTCGAAAACGTGATCTGTCTCAACATGATATTGGTTTATCTTCGCTCTATAAACAACAAAATTGTTCGCAGCACTTTGCTTGTGTGAGGAATGTTTGTTGTAGATGGAATTGAACTTGGTGCACTTCCTATTTGTTTAAGTCCAGTTGCTACTCAACATATTATGATTGCAAAAATTTTCATCATTCTTCAAAATAGTCCGAAATTTCCTAATCACTTCCCCAAAATCTACTTTTCTCATATTATTTCCCTGAGTTTGATTTTTTGATGTCCAACACCACGATAACGCCAAGTCGTATTCTTCCTCTGCAATCCACCATGTTGGGGGTTATTCTTCCGATTGCTCAATCGCGACCGATTTCCCTTTCCTTCTTTCTCTCTCTTTGTTTTCCTTTTTTTTTCCCGACTCCCCCCGATTGCATCTCGGAAACTGTTTCTTACGTGGGTGGTGGTTGTGTGTTATTTTTTTTTTTTGCTTGGTAGCGAATGTGTTGAAAAGGTTTTGTGGAAGGGTTGTAGGGAATTGTGGTGGGGTGAAAGGGATTGAAAAAGTTGCTGGAAATTGGAAGTTGCGATGTGCTTTGGGAGTTAAGGATGTTCTTGTACACCTCATATTGTGCAAAACCAAGAGGAGGGGACGTGTTTGTGTTTGGAGGAGTGTTGGGTTTTGATCCATAGTGATGGAATGGGAAATTGTTTGATGATTTAGATGTGTATTTGAATGTGTAGGTAAAAAATGAAGTTGGATGTGTATTTATGTATGAAAAAATTAGAGTTAATTTTATTATTATTATTATTATTATTATTATTATTATTATTATTATTATTATTATTATTATTTATTCTTTTTATTTTTTTACAGTTTGACCATTTAAAAACGATCCAAATTATGAAAAAAGTCGATCGAATACAGCCTGTTTTCACCCGTTACCACCCTAACGCGTAATATCTTAACGTCGGAAAAAGCATATTGGGGGCGGTTTATGTGACAACTCGAAATTTCTATCTTGTACACTTATTCAAATCAATCAAAGTTAGACTCGTTTTGCTATCTGTTAGCACTGTTTAGCGTCTAATTGAGTTCTCTAAACCTAGTATAATCAAGGTAGGAGCCTAGGAATGGGTTAACTCGAGTCGTAGAAAGCAAAATCGGGCCAAACACTCCAACATGTGGAGTGTGCGGCCGCACGCATGAGTGTGTGGCCGCACACCCATCCCAGCCACACACTCCTGCCTATATATACCACACTTATTAATTTTTGAACATTTTTACACTTCTGTAATTCTAGAACTCCAAATCCTCTCAAGTATCATCCAAGATTTCACTCCAATCTTCAATCAAGTAAGTGATTCATCCTTTGATTAGCTAATACATGACCTTAACTAGCCTTCTCCTCTACTTTGATCCATGAAAACATCCATTTTTAGTCAAGAACACCAAGAACACACACTAGTTTTGGACCCTAATCACCCTTTTCACGCCTTTATAACGTGTATACACTTGTCATAACTTGTTATATGCCAAGAACAATTGATGATATGCTTGAAAAACACGATTTTGTCACCTTCATAAAGGGTGTGCGGCCACACACATCATAGTGGCCGCACACGCCCTTTTTAGGTCCAAAAATGAAAATGAACTCCATATAAGGCTAGAGCATGAAGTAAGAAACCTTCCTAGATGAGTCCTAAGGCCTTAAAATACGTTTTGACACACTTCATGGAGAGTGTGCGGCCGCACACACACCTTGGCCGCACACACTCAAATATGGTGTATTTTGACCTTACACTCCCTTGTATAGCCATATACGTCTTATATACAATCATATATGGTTGTAGCACTTTAATATAAGTGTTTACTAGTCCCTAAGGTGGTCCCAATTCAATAATTAGTTGTTAAAAGCACTAATTGTGTGTGTGTGTGTGTGTATATATATATATATGTGTGTGTGTGTGTGTGCGTGTGTGTAATTATATGGTTAATAGGATTCGTTTGTGCTCAAGTGCGTAATTGACACTCAAATTCCTAAACCAATCTTACAGTCGCATCACTCACTGCAGGTGAGTTCATACCCCTTAATCAACCTTTTAAATGATTTTAGGGGGGGGGGGGGGAGAATACAAGTTGAATCATTATAGTTATTATATCAATCACATGTGATTAATAACTATCAAACAAATGGATTTACTTTACTTTCAACTGTTTTGTCAACAAAACTACTTCAAAATGATTATCAAACTCTTTTACATGTTAAATTCTTTATAAAACTTGTTCTTAGTTGCTAAACCTTTGCTTTTAAATTCTTTAAACTTATATATTGTCAAAATCATGTCCAATACATATATAGTTATATAAGTAAGGTTTGAAGGACTTAGAACTGATAACTCACTTTAATTCCTGTTCATTGTTTGGTTATGGACTTAGAGTACCCTGTTGTTTGTCCGAGTGTCGTTTGATCCTTAGTTTTATATATATATATATATATATATATATATATATATATATATATATATATATATATAGATATAAAACTTTTACCTTAGTTCCATCACCTTTGGGTAGCAAAGGTGTATAAACTTACTAAGTCATTCAAAAAAAACTTCTAGTAAACTATAATAGGTATAGTTTAGAGGTATACTAATTACTATTTTTCTAGTACAATGACACATACAAAGAGTCAGTTCATATAGGAGTCAATACATACTATAACGAAAAATAATACATACACTACACTACACAAAATAACATACTATGATGAGAATTAAAGAG